GGTGGGGAGCGCTCGAGTGAGGGCATACCTAGTTGCGTAGTCTATAGCAACGGCGACCCACGTGTAGCCCGATTTCGACTCAGGAAAAGGACCGAGAAGATCTATACCAACAATATATTCTGCATATAGAAGCACCGCCATCCAGCGGACATTCCAAGGACTAAATGAGAGGTGGCATACACACACTTTCTTATGGCTTACGCTGCGTGTCTACTTCCCACCTTTAACCACCTTGAGTTCATGGTATATACTATTTCACTGTATACATGGCACTGCGGCACAACGCTCGCTAAACCTTTCTAAAACCAAGGAGGTTACGCCCAGCGAGTATAGCGTAGCAACCCTTTCTTGTCAGATAGTGCTCAATGTACATGCCAACGGCTGCTAATGGGGAATGAGAGACAGGAGAATTCGGCGTTTACTTTCTTACGGCTTGCGCTTCGTGTCTACTTCCCATCTTTAACCACCTCGAGTTCATGGTATATACTAGTTCACTGTATTCATAACACTGTGGCCCAATGCTCGCCAAACCTTTCTAAAACCAAGGAGGTTACGCCCAGCGAGTATAACGTAGGAACCCATTCTTGTCAGATAGTACTTAATGTACATGCCAACGGCTGCCAATGGGGAATGAGAGACAGGAGTAATAGGCTTTTAGTTAACGCGCACGTTGCGAATTTTTTATTGTTAAACAACACACAGGAAAAATCACCCACCGGCACCACCTTGCCGGTGATAGCATAAGACACGTTACGTACTACGACGAGGGACGAACAGCTGCCGCTTTGAGAAGCTTCGCTTCTAAAAATGACGCTGTTTTTGTAGATGTAGAAAAAGAGCAGGACAGTGTAGTATGACTGTTGGTTGTTGCATGAAGAGTGTCAAATCGTACATTTGAAGAGCAACAATATCTTGCACGGCTCTCTTGCTGCGGTGCCGGACGGGCGCACGTAATGCGTTTCTCAGACTGAAACTGTTTTTTCTCCCCCTGGGTTCAAACCCTTCAGTCTAATATTTGATCTTCACCGAGAAGGCTAAGAAACTGGTTATGACTCTTGAAAGAAACAACGCCACTATTTAGAATTGGAAATTGTTTTCCTTTAGATCTTGTACAACACCCAATATATAACCAAATCATCCTCTTGAATATTTTCATGAAATAATTTTGAGGCCTTTCCCTTACTGAACTCCACGTTGTGCCTAAGGCGAAAGTAGCCGTCGGCAACAACACTAGGTGCCAAAAATCGAATGATGTCATACGAACATTGAGCTTGGTGATATGATTCATAGGAGATATGACTTCACGTATCGGTCAAATTTGTTGTTTATTTATGACATGTATCTTATTATAACTTGATGTTTTCTGTTATAAATGTAATTAAAACCTAAAAAAATAAAAGTGGACAAAAATATCACTTGTCGCGGGCAGGTGTCCTAATCTGCGAATGTAAAAGTAACCCTTGTACTAAGTGATTCCCCTCGCTTACTACCAAACCGCACTTTCGCGTTTAAGTTAGGTTTACCAGAAACCGTTATTTACCTTTTGTGAGACACCTCACAAAAGGACCAGGAGAGGCGACCCAAATCACACAGCTCAAAAGTGTCGCCTGCATTTCTTGCTTTTTTTTCTTTCGCAAAGGATCGAAGTTTTCTTTCGTCTATCTGGCTGCCAGTTGACCCAGGCGTTCGTTCAAAGCACGTTCACCGCAGCCCTCAAAGCACATAAAAGTGAATAAAGACGTGTCAACAACAAACAACAACAACAACAACAACAACAACAACAACAACAACAACAACAACAACAACAACAACAACAACAACAACAACAACAACAACAACAACAACAACAACAACAACAACAACAACAACAACAACAACAACAACAACAACAACAACAACAACAACAACAACAACAACAACAACAACAACAACAACAACAACAACAACAACAACAACAACAGGGACAGGAACAACAACAACAACAACAGGAACAGGAAGAACGTTCAGAGCGCGCCTCTTCTCATACAGTTCACAGCGTTGCCCCCCATTCATCGATGACTCGCAGGTTGCGTGCTATCTTGTCGCGGAAAATTGCGATCACCCATTCCTGCATGCAATTAACACTATGATACGGGATGTGTAAGACCTGCTTACGGTCGACGACACTGACGGAAAAGTGTGTTTCATTTGATCTACTTGCTACCAGTACCTCTCACGGTTACAGGAAGAATCGCGTGGAATGAATACAACTTTTGATAAAGTCCTGCGAAGTTAATTTGAGATAGGCCTCAGCCCCGGCCTGGGCATCGGTCGCAAGCTCTCGGGCTCGGGCGGCTTCCTCAGCCTTCGTTCTTTAAACAGTGAATGGATGGAAGCAAAAGACAAATCGCAACAGAAGACCATATGGTCTCCAAAGTGTGTGGGTTGGGGACAACTGATAATGGCGAAATGGTGGTTTCATTCCAAACTTGCTTTCGATACAAATAAAACTCTGTACATTTACTTTTCACGGAGGTACTTCTTATGTGGCTGTGGTTCAGAAATGAGAAGCTCAAAATAAGACGAGCACAAAATATTATTTAAAAAGTCACATTCACTTTTTGTCGTTTTTATGGGCAATATTCCATATCAAAGGGACATTGTACTTTGAATCCACGAACATTTGTTCTAAACACACCGTTATACGCTCTATTTATAATAACTGTCATGGCGTTGCGCGGAATTACCTCGATGGGTAGTTGAAAACACACAGCGAAGAGGCTCCTCTTCGACGATGGCGCACGCGTTTCTTCAGAGTGTACGGAAGGGACAGCTGGAGTTTCCAGATATTCCGTACTAATTAACGAAGCACTCACTACAGTACGTTTGCATGCGTGGCATTCTCCGAAGTGTGAACAATTCGATACATTGCATTGCTCCTTTAACTTGCTATACGCATTGCTATACGCAGTGATAAATTGGTGTTTCAGTGCTCATTTGCGAAATGTATACACTGTTTTTACTCGTTTATTTTATTTCGTTTGTTTCTGTACAAATTACACGTACAATAACACTTCCCTTCTTCATTGAATTTACACTAAGAAAAAAAATATTACTACGAAGGGCACAGTAGGGCTCGAACCCGGGTCCGCTGCTTGTCAGCACGGTATCCCTGAACCACGCCGCTGCTTGGAACTTGTTCACAAACTTGCCTTAGGCAGGCTTGATGTCGGGAAAGTAATCGCGTTACTTTAAGTAACAAAGCGTTTTAGAACAGCAAACAAACAACCTGGCGTCACACATTGTGAATAGCGAAACTAGTGGGTCATCCAATGCTCCAACTTATTAAAAAAAATCACAGCATATCCACGGAGTGAATGATGATGAGTGGGCGAAGCTCTGGAGGAAAACCTGGTAAACCATGAATCTTCCGTACATTTTGCCTACTCGATTTTATTACAATGCTCCCCCTAGCGTACGTCGCCGCACTAAATCGAACGATTGCCTTCCACCAATGACACGTGCCATATGTGACATCATTCCTATTTTATAACATCTCGCATCTTTCATCATCAACTACAAGTACCACCGTCTAGTTTATAACATCTTGCATCTTTTCATCATCAGCTACAGGTCCCGCCATCTAGTGAGCACTGAAAGAACTAAACGAGAGGTGGCTACATGCAGGAGACGGTGCCGCCATCTAGTGAACACTGCAAGAACTAAACGAGAGGAGGCGACATACGGGAGAGACGGTACCGCCATGTAGCGGACACTGCAAGAACTAAACGAGAGGTGGCTACATACAGGGGACGCACAGCCCACGCCTTAAGGAGCTTCGCCCCTAAAAGCCTGTTTTTGATCAATCATTAAATGTGGCACATACCCACTTCAGACGTGATTCCTTCTCGTCATCAGCCACTGCAAGAACAATAGGCACAAAATTCCTTGCAAGTGTTTAGTGGATACCACGCTTCTCAGAAGAATGACGAAGGATAGCATACCTGTTGCGGGCCTCCTACCCAGAAATTATTATTATTATTAATGCCATAGTTGGTGCCTAGCAAGTGTGCTTGCAGCAGTTGCCCAATGAATGTTCAGAAAGGGCCCTGAAAGGCCACTATTTTAGCTTTCGCTGTGACTGTGCGGCGCCTTCCGCGCAGGCCTGGCGTTTCTTTCAAAATCTAGACAAATACGAGCTCTTACCATTCTACATGGTCACTGCATGGAATCTTGCCAACTACTTCTACATCCTGTACAATGAAGTCTATTTCGTTTTCACTTACGCCATTAGGACTTCGTCATGTTCATTCACGGTTAGCCCTTTTTCTAAAGAATTTATCTGTAGAGTCGATGCCATATTCCACTATTGCCTGGTCACCGGTTTGTTTCTTGCCTATTTTGGCATTAAAGTCGCCCATCAGAATTGCAACAGAATCGAAAGTTGGGCTAGTATAGTTAGATATACATGGTATAACTGTCGTTTAAGCAAACGAATAAACACAAAGGAGCCCACATCTTTCTATTTTTTACTTACTGTTCCCGAGTTGCCATGCTTCTACTTTTTGCCCTCACAAGCATGCGTTGATATTGATTGCCTGCTTATATGTACTTCTCTTTCCAGCATACATTTTAGTTGCGAGAAAGTGCTTGTTCTCAGTTCCTCTGTGTTTGTTTGTGTGCTTAAATGACAGTTAGCCCGTCGGAATAGTATACCGTGTCTTAACTTTATTAATGGCTGCCATTCCAAAGATCTACTCTTCATGAAGCGGTCCACATCTGTGCGCAAGGGTTACTTAAAACGCGGGGAATGCGGGAGCACAGTGGCTGCTGTCCCACAGAGGACATTTTATATAAGACCTTCACAACCACTTTACTGTGCCGTCAGAAGTCGGGATGACAAGAAAGTAAGTAGTGGGGGTTCGCTGACCTAGTCGCCCGCATCAAGTGGACCCACAGACGCAAAACCCCTCCGGTTGCCGTAGTCATAAATCTCCCTCCTGTGGAAAACAATAAAACCCCATGGAGCACCGACGAGGAAGGAGCTCTTTCTCGCTTTGCTGAGAGTCGTTCAACGGCCTGTCTAACTCAAAGCCGAAACTAGAGCGGAGAAGAACAAGCTTTCCAGACTGCACCTGGGAATCCACTCGAACCATGTTCGCGGTAACGACACTTCTGTTTGCGGCGATTACTGGGAGCGTAGCGTGCGCCGAACATAGTGAGTTCCCTCTTCTTCCCTCAATGGCGTTGTGATTTAGGCTTCACGCTTCATCCAGTTTAGATTCAAGTTCTCTTCTGTTGAGATGTTATGTTGAATTGTTACTGATCTCCACTACCTGTGAGAATAATTTTCTCAATAGCCTTTTAGCTTGTCGCAGAAGTTAATATTTTTCGGATAGTATGCTTAAAAAAGACGCTGTTCAACATCGTACTTGTTTGAGTCCATGTCAGGACGTCATTTTGGTATATGTAAGAGCTTGCCTTTGATAACGATGTACTAAATACGCCAGAAAAGTGCGCTGGTGATTAACTCCTAACTGTAACAGCGACTTCTCTATTTCACCAATAAAAGCAGATGAAATCGGCAATATTAAGTTATTGTAGGCGAAAAAGGATCGAGGCTTTCTTCTTTGTTTCTAATTGGGTGGGCGTAGGCTGAGTTGTGTGCAGTGGTTCGCTTTCATGCCACGAAGCCAGACAAATTATTATTCGATTGAGAATCTTCTTTTTTGACCAATGAATAAGGTTTTCATTTGAATATATTTGCGTTTTAATGCACATCTTCTGATGCGCATGAAACGACTATGGTGTGGTTAGTATACCACCGATCGCTACCAAAAATCTTGATTAACATTACAGGGTGTGGTGTACGTGGCCGCAGTTGCCTCTCTGCGCAGCAGAGGATCGTTGGGGGCGAAAGAGCCGATAAGCTCGAGTTTCCCTGGCAGATATCACTACGCCGTATGGTACCACAGATCAACCTGGACCGGGGACACTCTTGCGGAGGCTCCATCATCAACAGCCGCTACGTCCTCACAGCTGCACACTGCATCACAGGGTGAGAGCCTGATAAATGTTTTTTAAAGACGATATTCTTTCTTGGGGGCCTTTGACGGAAAAATTTTGGTCTGTCTGTTCGTTTGTCTGGGTTTCCGCCATAACTATACTCCAAACGGCACCAAACGGCCCAGCCCATCCGCAGTGCCCACCAATATTGCTCAATGTTTAGCGTTCATAGTTGTGTGATTGTCAATTAAAAAAGCAATAATTGCGCATATATAAGGCACCATTACAACGCGTCAATGTTTTGTATGTCTGCCTTTATAGTATAAAAGGCACACACAAGTAACTCTAAGGACTGTAGCATTTATCGCGCTGCGCTGAGAGTGCAATAGATGCTCAAGAAGGTGTTTCCAACGCTTTGCTACGACGACACGGTGGTGGCACCTGCCCGTCGCTTTGAATTATACACTTTATAACCTCCAAGACTGGCGCACATCTTTCTCCGCTGTCACGCACACCTTCGTTTTCGAATATAACTGCCAGATGGCACTCGGGTAGGACGTGCCTAGATGCGCTTGTTCGCCTCCGCTACACGCTCGAGGCACTCTGACGCAGCGCCTTCAGAATATCATTCACCGATTTTTTTGCGCAGAGCATAAAATAAACGTTTTGTTCACTCTTTCCAGACGCAAGACTATCGTCTTTCAACAACATTCACAGTGTAACATGTAGATTCGAGCCAATTTTTTTACTTATTTTCATCAAAGCTTATCGAGGCGACCCCTACCTATATTTTAAAGAATTTTTTGTGGTACCTGCCTTATTTAGAACGACAGAAAGCTTACTGGTCAGAGCGTCCAGCAACGTAATAGCCAACTGGAAAACGCTTCCAAACAATTGTAGTCTGATTTTTTGGATGTGAGTGTTGTGAGTGAAGTGCGCGAGTGTGTTGCTTTTCAAAGTTGGCGCTACAATAATTGACGAAGCCGGGCGCGAGCATGGCGAGCACCGCAAAGAAAAAGAGAAGAAAAACACAATAAAAATGCGACACGTGATAGGTGAACAAGAGCAAAAAAGAAAATCCAGAGCCACTGCACCGAAGAAAGAGGAGAAAGAGGTGTCGTGCGGGTGGTTGGAAGAACGTGGCTTGAATGCATTGAAATTTTCATTATAAGATACAGAGTGGCCAATACCCCTTGGGGGTATAACCCAAAACCTTTAAGCGATAAAACAAAACAAAACGTGGCTAGAATGTGGCGTGCGAGTTCACCGGTTGCATGTATCCGGGCTTCAAGGCATCCACCTAGCTGGTGACGACTAGGTAGATGCCTAGGTGACCTGGTGGCCATTCAATCACCGAGGCTATTGCCGAGTCCCTGGCACAGCCTGTTACTGGTGTTCGGGCAGAAGAGAGCGCTGCAGATCATGGCATCGTCCACGGGGACGGGAGCTAGCCGTCGCGCTACGAGCCCAAGCTTTCGTACACCCACCACTGCGTCTTCCTCGCTGGACTGTTCAAGGACAGTCCAGCCTGTCCAGGACATGTATCCTTGCGTGTCCGGGCTCCAATAAAAACCATATGAAAAGCGCCAAGTCCAGCGTCATCGCAGCGTCGCACAGTGTGACCAGACGGATTCGTTGTGAAAACTCCTCAAGAGCCGTAAAGTTTTCGCCAAAGAACCATTACTGAAAAAAAAATCACAGCATATCCACGAAGCTAATGATGACGAGTGGGGCGAAGCGGACGGACGGACGGATGGACGCACGCACGGACACATTGTGTCGAAGAGAATGAGCCCGAGACCTCGCAAAACATCGTGCAGTGTCCGTCAATGCAGCAACAAGAAATATTCCGGAAAATTGGTTTCATGTCTCATTTGCAGTTCCGAGGTGAGGGAAACTGATCGCAAGTACCACCGAATAGTTGTTTTTACTTATAAGGCCAGTTGCTGAGAATAAAAACTACCAAAAACTCGCAATATATAGCCCCTCGAGCTAGGAAGTTGTTGTACACCTTTGAGGTCACGTATTCAACCAATACACTCAGGCCAAGGCTTCCCGTCGAAGCTTCTGAGGAACAAGCTAAGTCAAGTACAGGCATCGGCTGAGAATTTTCGGGTCACGCAGAGCACGGCGACGACTTATTAGGTCCGAGGAGGGTGCCAGCCACATTTAGCCAGCAGCGCCGATCATAAAGGAAGGAATAAACTCCATGAGTGAAGATGCTGTCACGTAGCGAAAGTCGCTGGCAGCAGTGCGCTGATTGGTTCTCGTCCATCGACTGGCTTCCGGCGTTGACGCCGACGCCGCAGATATCTGAATCGTCCGGAAGTAAACGTTTCGGCTACCGCCATCGGTGGCGTCGACGCAGAGTGACGCCGGCGTACGAAACGCCTGGAAAACGCAGGCAAAACGCTTTATATCACTCGGCCTTTACCACTGACGTGTTGCTGTGTATCTATTACCATCTTTTGTGCCTTCTTCGTTTAAACGCACTCTTACATTCCACTTTTTCCGCCTGTAGAAAGAAGCGGCTTTTTACTTTTGACGCATCCTCAAGTACATCAACCGGGAGAGACCAGGATAGGTCGCTTCTCCTTGTAATTTTAGATGCTATCTTCTAGCCTAACCCAGGAAATATTTATTGACAAAGTACTTGCAAACACAGCCACTACCCTTCAGATAAATCATAAGTGGAAGGCCCTTGCCGACTAGAAAAAGGGCATTGACACCTCTGTCCCTTTCATAGGTCCAGTCGTAACGGAAAAATATTAATACAAGTGACTTGTGATAGGAGTGCAAAACTGGCACGTTGCGCTGTTTTGTCCGATCCTGCCAAAAGTGATTGTCAAGCATATTTATTACGAAAATGAGTGGTGGACGGCAGAAATCAGACCATCTCGCTGGTAACTACAGATGGTTACCAGATAGTTACCGCTGGTAACTATAGTTACCAGCAGACTATGATGTTTAGTTTACGCTCATTTGTCTGAGACATACCTATGCTCGCAGTTTTCGTATTTGCCTGGGCTTACCGTACCCAACTTACAGTGGCCTAGTATTCGCAGAAGCGAGAAAACCATCAATTCAAGTTCTTCGCATTCAAAGACTCTGCTGCAACTTCCTCCGCTTATCCGCGCATCCACATCGTGAAAAACTTATTCAAAGAAACGGGAGAATTGGCGACACGTTGTTAGCATACGAGGCGCCACTTCAACAAGAACAATATTTGTTCCGTCCAGATATCAGTTTTTCTCCTTGGCAGCTTACATCACCTCCAGCCATTTTGGGCACCAAAGGGATAGAAAAAAAAAATCCTCGACACACTATACCTTGAGGCCAAATTTCTAACGCTTCAACAAATGTGCAATAACCAAGTCAGTTTCACATTTGTTTTCCCGGATGGCTCTACAATGAACGAAACTTCGGCTGTGGCTTTTCATATACCCGAATATAGAGTAGAAAAAGATATCCGACTTTCTCGAAAGACATTGTCTACAGCAGCGGAGCTTGTTGCAACATTACAAGCTTCTAAATTCATTGTTGAAAGCCAGCAAAGGCGAAATTGGGTAATACATTCTGACTACAAAGGAGCGCTGCAAATGATTAAGGATTTTTATTTCAATATAGATGGTAAAATCATATATGAAATATTAATAACAATTACCAAGGGTTATCTGGATGGCCACAAGATATGTTTTCAGAGGTTTCCAAGTCACGTAGGAGTGACAGGAAATTAAATTGCTGACAAATTAGCCACTGCAGCACACAAAAAAGTTCACTCGACACCAGCGCCCATTTACTTCTCAGAGAGCAAGAAGGTTATTTTTGAACTATGCCACAAATTATGCAAAGATGCTTGGTTTGACGAAAATACAAAGTCGTCAATTTTACATCAAACAGATCCGTCTCTCCAATTTTCACCTAATCAAAAGATGGATAAACCATTCGACACGCTATTGCACCATCTACGATTAAGTGTTTCATACACACCTCACATTTTTTGCCACATAAAAAGAAGAATGTCCCTGCAGTGCGACCACTGAGATCATGTCGATGCGTCAGAGGAGCATATTCTTTTAGAATGTCCGCAATGCGATCAACAACGCGCTGAACTGAGAAATCGCTTGAACCGACTTGACAGACGACCATTGACGATTATAAAAGTGCGTGGACTGTGGCCGCATTCGGATAATCAAAGACGCGCAGTGAGCACCCTCCGCGATTTTTCAATGAACACAAATCTAACGAACTGTTCATAATCGTACCTTGCCGCTATCTGTACGGACTCTTTCCACAATGTGATCCCGATATATTAACTAAACTATGACCATATATACTGTGATTATTCATGCGTTATACGCCCTATAATGTATGTAGTACTGTACATATTGTCTTTGATTAGATTTTCTTATTTTATTCCTAATTTAGCTTTTTGTGTGTTTATATTGTACATTACTGTTATGATGTTGGGGTAGCCGACTCTAACGTAGTCTACTTTCCCACGTTGCACCAAATATAAATGAAAAAACTACAGAGGAAAAGAACAACAACAACAACAACAACAACAACAACAACAACAACACACAATAGATGTGAACTAACGTCCGCAGCAACATTAGCGCCCGGTTTTTTCCAATAAGCACTGAACAAGCTATCGTTTCAAAGGAAAGCAGTTTGCTGGAGCGTTTTCACACTGACCACTCTCGATTTGTAAAGTGAGCGTGCTCAGAAACAACAGCGCTTCGTGTCACAATTTTACCGTGGCGGCCACCAGTAACTTATGGTAATATTTTCTCTTGTGGTGCATCTATTGCGATGCTTCATGAATACCTACATGGAACCATCGTACACCTCATTGTGCATGGTGCTGTCCTACATCATCGTCGAAAGAACACCATTTTTTTTTGCATCCCGATTCGAAAGCAGTACAGAAGGACTTACTCGAACACCCTTAACATAGAATAAATGGTATAGAAGAAACTGTAGGAAGCTTAAGCAGTCCAGGATAGCCGGTTTGCTATCCTACACGTGGGAAAAGGAGACTGAAGGAAG